TTTAGAGTTATGTCATTTAAATTAATATAGAAGAAGATGAATAGTTTGGAGTTGAATGCAAATATATAACAAAAAAACATGACAAAAAATATGGTTGTGGATATTGAGAAAATGAAGGAGAAAAAAAGAAAAATAAGGTTCTAGACTTTAGGAGATGCCACCTCAAACACTAATGGTTTCTCCTTTAATATATATATATATATATATATATATATATATTTATATATAGATTTTGGGTTTTTAATAGTACTTGTAGTTGATGTTTTTCATCTTTTTTATGGATTTGCATATGCTTTATAAATCATTGCGTTTTGGATCTGTTTGAGTTGATGTTTAGCTTCCATGTTGAAAGAAAATGAACATTTGATGTTGTTCACGTTGTTAGATTACTTTTTTTCTTTTGAAATGCAAGTGTAAATAAAAAAAATTCCCGTTATAAACATATCAACAAATAAGTTTTGAGTTGGTTGCCAATGTCATTTGCGATGCCTGTATGAAACCTATTAATATTTAAACAACAAGTTATCCATGTGTTTAAATGTTCGAGATTTTTAATCATAGGCACCAAAACAAAATTTTAAAAGTATGTTACACAAAATATGAATCGAAACAAAATAGGTTACTTTTTCATGCAATTTACCTTTTTTTTATATAAGAAATTTAAAATTCTCTCTTAATCATCAAAATTGTTTCATGGTATTAAAAACTTGGGAAAAATCTAAAAAAACCAAATAGACTTTAGTGTTTGAAATGATTAAGTACTTGGACAATTTTTTTGAACAAATAAGTCTTTGGATATTCCAAAACTTGTTAAATAACTTCTTGAATTTTCTAAACTTGCTAGATACATTCTTATGACCTATACAACCGGTTAATTTGATAAAATAATTGAGAAAGTCTGAAAAAACCCAATGGACTCTTATATTTTGAATGATTAAGTCTCATATTATTAAACCAAAAAAGTACTTACATCTATAAAATGAAACAAATATACCAAAAAAGTACTTGTATTTAAAAAAAATACTTACATTTAAAAAAAAATATTGATAAAATTTATTTTAATTAAAAATAAAATTTATTTTGTTAATGATTTTTCAAATTAAAAATAAAATAAAAAAGGATTTAAAAAGGATTGCTGATTAAATTTATTCTAATTAAAAATAAAATATAATCCGTATGTGATTTTTCAAATTAAATAAAATAAAAAAAGATTTAAAAAGGATTACTGATGAAATTTATTTTAATTAAAAACAAAATATATTTCGTTGGTGATTTTTCAAATTAAAAAAATAGAAAATAAGTTGGTGTATTACATGTGGGATACGACAACTTGATTATTTGTTTATTTAATGCGATAAGTTTGAGACTTTAATGGGTCATGATGCGATAAGATGAAGTTGTCTCATCTATATGATGCGACAAAGAGGTTTGTTTTGATAAAACATTATTTATTCGTTATTAATTTAAATATGGGCTTTATAAAAATGTTTTGGTGATTTTCATCATGTAATAACAATAAAAATAGATTTCTCACTAGATTTTATGGTCTAATTCTTATTTTGTGTTTTAAAATATGCATTACATGTCAACCACATTTGAAGGATAAAGGAAAGAAAAATATGTGAAGAAATTATGATTGTTTTAAATATGTGGATTTTTGGAAGATATTATGTTATTTGTACTTGAGAACTTGTTATGTTTACAAGTATTGTACTTGATGTATATGGAAAAAAATTTATAGATACTTTTATAATGTAGCAAATTAAACATTTGGAATCAATGTGTATATTTTTATTTCATGTTATATGAAAATACATGGGTTATATGCAAATATGAAATGTGGTATCAAATCATAAAAATGTATCTAACATGTTTTAGAAAGTATAATAAGCTATTTAACATGTTTTAGAGTGTTTAAGGATTTTTTTTTTTTTTTTAAATTATCCAATGACTTAATCATTCCAAACATTAATTCATTACAAAAATTCTATAAAAACTTTAATTTTAATAATTTTGGTATTTTAAATATTTAATAAATATCAAAAAGATTATATTAACTGGAAGATGGTGTTGTCAAACGCTACGATCTCTCCTCCATTCCAACCCCCCTCTCTCGTCTCTCCAAAGCTTATGAAGATGATGTGAAAGGTAACAAATACTTGTGTTTTGTTAGCAGATAAAACCCACAAATCCAATACATAAACTTTGTAGCTTCATATTCTCCATCATCAATATCGTTTTTTGGATCAGTAAGAAATCATCGCGTTTATAAAATGTAACCCCAAGTCTTCTACTCCGCCTTGAATCATTTCTTGGCAGATTCTCGCTCTAAAATCACCTCCCCACAAGTATGAACTTGAAAATGGCGTCAACGGCTCAGCAAAAGAATACCCTACAATCGATTTTAGCAAGCAAACTCAATAACCTCACTATTCCGCCATCATCCGCCGAACAAGATTTTGATTTTGCTGATGTTTTTGGTCCTGCTTCATCATCTTCAGCTAATCCTAATTCAAACCCTAACCTTTTCATTGGAGACCCCCAAATCATCCACAATCGATCCCACTCCTTCATTGGGCCTTCCCCTCGTTACACCCTCTCCAAATCCCTCTCTCTTCACCATGATGAGTTCGAACCCGATAGTTCCGGAGAAGAAGAAGAAGAAGAAGACGATATGATCAAAGTCGACAAGGCTGAGGAAGAGGAAGGATATGAAGCTGAAGGGAAAGGTGAAGTGGATTATAAGATTGGACCTGGGGATTTTGAGATAATGAGGGTAATTGGTAAAGGGTCTTTTGGCAAAGTATTTCAGGTGAGAAGGAAGGATAGGAGCTGTGTTAATGGTGAGGTCGAGGGTGTGATTGGAGATGGGATATTTGCCATGAAAGTGATGAGAAAGGACACCATCATAAAAAATAATCATGTGGATTATATGAGAGCTGAAAGGGATATACTCACAAAAGTAGTTCATCCCTTCATCGTGCAGCTTCGTTATTCTTTTCAGGTACTTGTACTTTCGGTTTAACTTTAAGCCTTGCTTTAATGTTCTTATTATGATGAGGGTTTTCTTTGAATCTTTCTCATTATAGCACATCTGGATTGATTGGTTGTTTTAATTAAATTATAAAGCTTTTGTTAATAATATTGGAAGATGCATGCGTCAACAAAATGTCAAACTATCAAGGGAAAGATGTTTGAGTCAAACACCCATAACAGTTGCTCCCTTTTGCCATCAATAGGTTTTAGTTTGGGATTGCCAAATGTTGGATTTCCCTTCTCAGAAAAAACTTTGTATACAAATGACCTATTCACCCCCATCTCATTACAGATGTATGTGTTTGTCATAGTACATCTAGGTCCCACAGGCTTTACTTTAATTGAAAACTTGAAGCTCAATGTAGTGTGTTCCAGTTCTTCTATCCCCCATTCATGATGTAATGTAGATCAACTAAAAATTTACTTTAAATCTTTGATGTAAGGACATATGTGATTAGCAGTGTAATCCCCATTTGAATGAGGGAATAGTCAAATGCTGCACTTAGTGGGATGGAGGGAGTCCAACCTATAAAGACTATCTTAAATATGTAAAGAGTATCCATGTTTTATAAAGGTTCATATTTGGAATACTGAAGTATGATAATTCATTGGTGCTTCTAACGGAGTGTGGAGTACTTCCTGCCTAAAATATTTTGGCTTCCTATGTGGTTGCTTAAGAATTTATGCAATCTTGGAATCTTTCTTGAACATTAATAGCAATTTGAAGAAATAAATGTGTTGGTCACAAGATCATGCCCTTCAAGTTCATAAGATCAGGCAATCAAGATCACAACACTGACCGTTCAAGTTTCATGGATTGACTGATGAGGAATTCTTTTTTGTTGGTCTAATGTCTCCAGGGTAGACAACATAGGTAGGAGAACGATGACAATTTTATCCCACAAAAAGGAAAAGCTTAAAGGGGCATTTTTGGTATGCAAACTCTACCTGCCAACCGTAGAAATGTTAGTTGACAAGTTTAGTTTTTTTTTTTGTTTTTGAGTATGGAAGAGAGTACAGGATGATCCTTTGGGGTATGGAAAGTTCACTAGTCTAGTTTCTAGGTTATTTAGTATAAAAGAGAGTACCGATGCATCTTTGGTTTACACAAGTGTGTGGGAGAGAGAAGCATGATAAATTAAACTTTCGTTATAATATTGATAGGGAGCTGAATAGGGTAGAATCGTCACATATGCTTGAAGGAACCAAAGGTGGTTGACAGAATATTTTTGTAATAATTTGCCTACTTACATGAGTTTGTATGCACTTGTAGCTGTATTGAGCCCTGTGAAGTATGAATTGAGCTCCTGTGAAACCTATATGCTTTAACCCATGCACCTTAGGAACAGAATTGCCTATACTAATCAAGATAAACCCTATAAAACAAAACATGATATACCAAATCCGCCTTAACTTTTGGAAGTTAGGATAATTAATTTGAATGTACTCCCTATGAACTAGAATACCCTATAACAAATACATACAAGCCAGGAACTTAATGCTATTTCAGGATGATTCTATTCTTATGATTTCAATCTTTCTTTATCTTCCTAATGACTGAACAGAGGGTATGCGATGCTCCAAAAAGTAAACATGATAGAAGTATTGAAATGAAACATATAAAAAGGGTAGACGCCACCCTCTGAGGCACCAAACGTATAGTAACTGTCATGAATGGGCTCTGCAGCACACTTGAAGATCAATATGAAGAACTGCTTCTAACATTTAGAACACACATCTCCATGGTGCACACAGAACCTAGAACTTGATTCATTAAAGGGACGGGCTAGTTCTCCTCGGTCAAACTTAGTAAACCAAACCAAACGAACCCAATATGGGATGGGGTTGGTGGTAAGATGTACGTAAACCTGACTTTACCCTGAAGGGTAGAGCCACAATTTCTGTGAAGACTCCTGGCTTGAGAAAAGAGTGAGAAAGATATATATATATATATATATATAGAGAGAGAGAGAGAGAGAGAGAGAGAGAACATTTGATCCAACTTGGTAGCTAGTAGGAAACAGGTTTAAAATGAAAAAGGTTATAGAGTTAAGCTTAATGCAGTGATCTAATTTTCCTGACCAAACAATTGTAATTTGTGAATCACAAACCGACGTGTTGTCAGGTTTCTGTTCATAATTAAGAAACTTGTTTTCAACACTTGTGGCTAGCATGCTTTAAGCGCCATGAAAGCTGTATCTGTATAGACACAGGGGTGCTTAACAGCCTTCTACTCAAGATAAAATGCCACGGTTTCTGTGTTCAGATTTAGCTTCCATTTCATCTTCTCTTAATTGTATATTTTGCAATGCATTCTTACAGACAAAAACCAAGCTGTATTTGATCCTGGATTTTATTAATGGAGGCCATCTTTTTTTTCACCTATACCGACAAGGAATCTTCAGGTACATGCTTGTTACCCTGTGGATGGTTTATCATGATGTATGCTTATGTTTTTAATTCTTGTTCTCGGAATGTTTTTGGGTAGCGAGGATCAAGCAAGGGTTTATACTGCTGAGATAGTGTCTGCTGTTTCACATCTTCACCAGAGCGGGATCGTGCATCGAGATCTTAAACCTGAAAACATACTCATGGATGCAGATGGGCATGTAATTGCCATGCCCGCAAACTCAATAGTGTTTGAGAATATTTTTCATACCTTTTCAGTTGCTTGGTTTTTGAACAAGTAGTTGTGGTCCAGGTTATGCTGACAGATTTTGGTCTAGCAAAGGAAATTGATGAATCCAGCCGCTCGAATTCAATGTGTGGGACCACAGAATACATGGCTCCGGAAATACTACTGTCTAAAGGCCACAATAAGAATGCAGATTGGTGGAGCGTTGGGATACTCTTGTACGAAATGTTAACTGGGAAGGTAAATTACACGTTGAATAATGATTTTCTTTAACTTTTAATTTTTCATCTTTTATTTTTAGATCTCATTTCCGTGTGGGATATACTGGACTTGTTTGGTTTGGTTTGGTTTATTTGGATTCTAATTGCATATAAGTTTATCAACAGCCGCCATTTACTCATTCAAACAGAAAGAAACTTCAGGAGAAGATCATCAATGAAAAAGTGAAGCTGTTACCACGCTTAAGCGGTGAAGCTCACTCTTTGCTCAAAGGAGTAAGTTGATGAAGCTTTTGCCATGGACTTGACCTTAATCGCTTGAGAACTAATTCGGTTTTATATATGTTTCTCAGTTGTTGCAAAAAGATCCGTTAGCAAGATTGGGCAGTGGTCCGAGGGGTGGTGATGATGTTAAAGGTCATAAATGGTTTCAAACGATCAACTGGAAGAAACTGGAGTCTCGAGGGTTGGAACCGAAGTTCAGACCAGATGTGAGCGGTGAAGAGTGCACTGAAAATTTTGACAAATGTTGGACTGCAATGCCTCTAGATGACTCGCCTGCGCCTACACCGACAGCAGGTGAGCATTTCCATGGTTACACTTATGTGGCACCTAACCCTTGGCTTTCATCTCCTTGACAAATGATAGTAGTATTTATTTGTTGAATAATAAAGTAGATTGTGAGCTTTTTTGGATATGTAATACAACTTCACTTGGATTCCCATACAAGTTCAGATCACAAGAGATCAAACCTCATATTTTCTTTACAGCATCTTTGGCACATATGTACAGGAATGGGGGTGTCTTCTGTGTGTTTCCATTACTTTTTCACACACACACACACACACACACGTATAAAGGTCGGTCAACTTTAGAGAAGGCGAGAAGTTCCAAGATCACATGTGATGGAAAACACGTAATCACATTTGACACAAACATGTCGCGTTGACCAGCCATAAGTGGGTGACCTTTCCCATGACCTGTGGTCCCGTTGACCAAGTTTGTTGTCTTTTTGGACGTGTTGTATCACATGTGATCTTATTCTATAATCTCATGAGATCTTGAAATTTCTTGTCTTCTTGCAAATTGATGGTATTCTCGTTTGAACTTGCGATTACAAACCATATATATATGTATACACACACACACACACTAGTTGTGTACCCGCGCAATGCGGCGGAGTCGTGAATTTTAATGATTTTGAAGTTTCACTGGTTTTATTAGAAAAGATTTAATGATGATATAAGTTACAATTGGTCTTTCCATATTAATACAATTTGAATAAATAAGAGTTATGGTTCCAAATCCAATTACAGTCTATCGATGAAAAAATTGTATGACAGTTTAAAATCAAATATATTTAAAATCCAACATATTTAAATGACTCCACAAATGTGTTCAATTTACACCAAAGCAAAGAATCAAGAGATCGAGAGCGAGACTGAGAGTTTTAGAGCAATTGAATGGGAGATGAATGAAATAACTTTTAATAACTCATGGTGAATATCAGTTTGAATCTCACATTGGGGGATGAGGAGAAGACATAGAAGTATGAGAGGGTGAAAGCATGATGAAAGGTGTCAAAAGTATCTTGGAAACATTAAAAGAAAATGTAATAATGTGCATTGGTAACTTATACTATATGTTATTTAATTGTAGATGACGGGTGTCGAGTCCGGCAAATAATAGAATTTTATAAAATAAGCCTATTATCTTTAAAACACAACTTGTGATAGCGATAAGTAGGGTCGTCTCCTTAGGGACTCGGTGTTAACCGTAAGTCCAAGAACTAACCGTGTGCGAATTCATTAACAATAAAACACTATATAGAAAAAGGGGGGGGGGGGGGAGTTGGAAGATTGATAAAAAAGCCTAAATATGCAAAATAAATTGAGAACTTTAAACAATAACGAATAAATTCTAGTGATGAGTATAACTAGTTCTTTATCAAATCATGTATCATTGACTTGTATAAAAACATTTACTCATCAGATTTTAGACCGGTTGTGAGTGTCGACACGTGCCAAACACTCCGCTTGTCTTTATAGATGCGAGCATTTTCGTAGGCGTCGTTTCGTATCTCCTCTAACTCTTGAATTTGAAGCTTCCTATGCGATCCCGCTTCATCCAAATCCATATTGCATGTCTTCACCGCCCAATACGCCTTATGCTCTAGTTCCACCGGGAGGTGGCAAGGTTTACCATACACCAACCGGAAAGAAGACAAACCTATAGGCGTCTTGTAGGCCGAACGATAGGCCCACAAAGCGTCATTAAGCCTTAAGCTCCAGTCTTTCCGGTTGGGATTCACAGTCTTCTCCAAAATGGACTTGATCTCTCTATTTGATACCTCGGCTTGTCCGTTTGATTGTGGATGGTAGGCGGTGGAGATGCGGTGGATAACCCCATATTTCTTGAAAAGAGCGCCAATGACCTTGTTGCAAAAATGGGTGCCTCGATCACTGATGATGGCCTTGGGCGTCCCGAACCTGAAAATATGTGAGATTTGACAAAATCTGCAACTACACGAGAATCATCAGTTCGAGTGGCCTTTGCCTCAACCCAYTTTGAGACATAGTCAACGGCCAATATAATATAGAGATTTCCACAAGATGCGGGAAAGGGTCCCATGAAATCCATGCCCCAAACATCAAAAATTTCACACACAAGCATAGGAAATTGGGGCATTTGATTCTGGGAACTAATGTTTCCCGTCATTTGGCATCTCATGCAACTCTTACAAAAGCGATAACAATCTCGCATAAGGGTCGGCCAATACAACCCACACTCAAGTACCTTTCGGTATGTCCGCTTATGGCCGAAGTGGCCCCCACAAGCATGAGTGTGACAAAACTGTAAAACAGACTGAAACTCCCCTTGGGGCACACATCGCCGGATAACTTGGTCCGGGCAATGTTTCCAAAGGTATGGCTCGTCCCACATGTAGAGACGAGCCTCTCTCCTAATCTTTTCTCTATTGGGTCTAGATAACTCACCTGGGAAGCTCTTTGAAACCAAATAATTAACAATGTCTGCATACCATGGGGTTTCGCCCGAAACAGAGAAGAGGTTCTCATCTAGGAACTCATCAGTGAGTGGGCTTGGCTCTCCATCCAATACTAGCTGGCTAAGGTGGTCGGCAATAAAATTTTCAGCTCCGCTCTTATCTCTAATCTCCAAATCAAACTCTTGGAGTAAGAGAATCCACCTTATCAACCGTGGCTTTGCGTCTTTCTTATTGAGCAGGTACTTCAATGCGGCATGATCTGAAAAGACAATCACTTTTGTGCCAAGCATATAAGATCTAAATTTTTCTAAAGCAAAAACAATTGCTAGCAACTCTTTCTCGGTGGTTGAGTAGTTGCATTGTGCACTATCAAGTGATCGTGATGTATAATAGATAACATAAGGGCTCTTACCATCTTTCTGTCCCAATACCGCCCCGACGGCGTGATTGCTAGCATCACACATAATCTCAAATGGCAATTGCTAATTTGGAGGTCGAATGATAAGAGCAGAAGTAAGCATATCTTTCAATAAATCAAATAAACTCTTACATACCTCATTGAAAACAAAGTCTACCTCTTTTTGTAGAAGTTCACAAAGGGGTTGAGTGATCTTCGAGAAGTCTTTAATGAAACGTCGGTAGAAACCTGCATGACCAAGAAAAGAACGGACCTCTCTAACACTCGAGGGGTAAGACAAGGATTTTATGACATCGATCTTTGCCTTGTCAACCTCTATACCCCTTTCCGAGATAACATGACCAAGTACTATACCTTGGTTGACCATGAAGTGACATTTTTCATAATTTAAAACCAAAYTAGTTTCAATGCACCTCTTTAAAATTTTGGTCAAGTTATCTAAGCATGAACTAAACGAATCACCATAAACTGTGAAATCGTCCATAAAAACCTCAATATTGTTATCTACATATTCTGAAAATATACTCACCATACATCGTTGGAACGTCGCCGGTGCATTGCAAAGACCGAAAGGCATCCTCCGGTAGGCGAATGTACAGAAGGGGCAGGTGAACGTGGTCTTCTCTTGGTCCTCTCTCGCCACTGGTATCTGATGAAAACCTGAATAACCATCCATAAAACAATAGTGAGTACGACCGGCTAACCTTTCTGACATTTGGTCTATGAATGGAAGGGGAAAATGGTCTTTCCTAGTCAATGAATTAAGCTTACGATAATCAATACATACTCTCCACCCATTTTGAACATGGGTGGGCACTAACTCACCTTCGGCATTCTCTACCACAGTAATGCCAGTTTTCTTAGGAACTATCTGGACCGGGCTTACCTACTTGCTGTCAGAGATTGGGTATATCATATTAGCGTCCAAAAGCTTGAGTATCTCCTTCTTGACAACTTCTATCATCGGTGGGTTCAACCTCTTTTGCGCCTCTCGGAATGGCTTGTACTCTTCCTCTAGTAGGATTTTGTGCTGGCAAAGTGAGGGACTAAGGCCCTTGATGTCGGTGATGGTCCATCCAATCGCCCTCTTGTGCTCCTTCAAAACATCCACAAGCTCTCTTTCTTCATTCGGTGATAGTGTGGCGGATATGATCACCGAAAGGGTTTCTTTATCTCCCAAGTAGGCGTACTTCAGATGATGTGGTAGCATCTTTAACTCTAGCTCGGGTGCCTGTTCAACAGAAGGAAAAAGTCTAGTGTGAGATATAGACAAATCTACTTTAGAAACTTCATACCTTGGCTTTTGTACTCGCCCTTTCTCCATCCAAGACACCAATTCTACAAAATCATCATCAAGCTTGTACTCTTGGGCAAGCTTCTTCAAACTTCCATTTGTTAAATCCCTGTCTAGAATTACTTCTAACACATCCTCATTAGATAGATAAAATATAGTATCAGATAAAGACTCGATAATATCAACAAAGCATAAAGATGAAACATCATTCGGATATCGCATGGCATCATATATATTAAATTTAATCATCTCGCCATCGAATTCCATTGTCAGACTACCACTATGGACATCTATCTTAGTCTTAGAGGTCTTCAAAAATGGTCTACCTAGCAAAAGTATACCGGCCTTGGAGGCATTTTTCTCCTCCATGTCTATAACATAAAATCTGCCGGAAAGACCAACTCATTCACTTGAACTAGTACGTCCTCTAATACCCCTTTAGGGTAGACAATAGACCTATCCGCTAGTTGGATTACCACATCGGTTGGCTTGAGGGGCCCAACATCCAAAGATGAGTAAATGGCATATGGCATAACATTAATTGATGCCTCCAAGTCCAACATGGCTTGATTTACCGAGACATTGCCTACCTTACAAGGTATGGTAAACATGCTCGGGTCTTTACACTTAGGTGGTAACTGTTTTTGCAAAACAGCAGACACATTTTGATTCATGCTTATCTTTTCATTACCCTTTAGTTTCCTTTTATTCGTACAAAGCTCTTTCAAGAACTTAGCATATCTAGGAACTTGCTTAATTGCATCTAATAAAGGGATGTTTACCTGAACTTTCCGAAATGTGTCAAAAATCTCTTTCTCTTCACTCTCCCTCTTTGTCTTCTCGAACCGGCTCGGGAATGGCGGTGCTTGAACTATCACTTCAGGTGTCTTCTTCTTTGCCTCCTCTTCTTTGACATCCTTTGCACCCGAAGTGGATGTCTTGACCTCTAACTCTTCTTCTTCCTCGTGAACCTTTTCTTTCTTCTTCTTTCCAACCTCTTGAAGCTCCTTTTCGTTTCTCAAAGTGACGACACTCACATTTGCCTTCA